CACAACCACAGGAAAATTTGTACTTAGAAAGTACAGAGACGCCTAAAGGTTGTGTAGAGGATGCTTCTATTTGCAGCTCAACTAAATCTAGAGGGTGATAAGTAAACAATTATAGCCTACCGATTTTTTGTGTCGGTAGGCTTTTCTCTCTTTTTGATAAACAACCTCGATTTTGATCTTAATCATTAAAAATTTATTAAAAAAAAAGTATTGATTTCTTAACTAATATATTATACCTTTTAATTTATATATTAATAAAAAGATAATCTATGTATGATAAATTGAAAGCAATATTAGGTAGAATAGAATCAGAATTAAGTAAAATACACCCTGATCCAATTTTTAACCCATATAATATATATGTAAGAATAAAAGAAATTTTACAGTCAAAACATCCAGAGATATACCAAGAGTGGAAAGAAAAGGGTTTTGACAAAAATCATCCATTTCTATTCAAAAAAGGCGTTAAAGAGGATAAACCAGACGATGAATACGCCACATTACTGCATATTGCCGCTTGCAATGGCAATATAAAGGTAATAAAGACCCTAGTAGCACAAGGTGCAAATGTTAATGCTAAAGATAACAAAGGAAGAACTCCTTTACATTGGGCTGCTTTCAATGGTCATAAAGATGTAGTACAGGCTCTACTAGGCTCTGTGAACCAAAATTTTAAGCAAGCCATATGAGGGCCCCAACGAAGTTTAAAAAGCCTAAATAAACCGTGGCAGTCTTATCAAATCTTGAAAAAATCCGCCTAAAATGTTTTATTTTGCCGAAAAAGCATTCAATCAAATGACGTTCTTTATAAATATGCTCATCATAATACCTCTGCACTTTTCGGTTACGCTTCGGAGGAATAACAACCTCACACCCTTTATTCTCAAGACCCACAATAAAAGCATTACTATCATAGCCCTTATCGGCCACCACAACTGAATTTGAGACATTCTCAGTTAATGCTTCAGCCTGTGTAATATCGTTCCTTTGACCAGCAGTTAAAGTAAATTTAAGCGGATTTCCCAGAGCATCAACAAGAGCATGTATCTTTGTTGTAAAGCCACCTTTGCTGCGTCCCAGTGCTTCTTGAGCTCCGGTATCCTTCTTGTATCCAGCCGCACAAGCATGTGCTCTAACGATTGTTCCATCTATCATTTGCACTTCCAAATCTGGATCTTGTGTATATTTGAGCAGCTTTTCCCAAATTCCCTTTTCACACCACTTTTTGAATCTCTTATGTACGCTTCTGTAATTGCCATATATTTCTGGTAAAAGTCGCCATTGGCAACCACTTCGAGCCATGTACCACACTGATTCCATGAACCTTCTTATCCGATCTTCGTTTTTACTGTGTATTCCTTTTACGCTTTTCAAATTTGCAAAAATTTGTTTCCATTTTGTTTCTTGTATGTAATATTTCATTTGGTAGTTTCTCCTTATTTATTCACGGTTAAACTACCACTTTTTTCTTATTTCTCCAAATTTTGGTTCACAGAGCCTAG